GATGGGGCACCTGAGCTTGTGAATGGAGTAAATGTTTTGTGGGGTTCATCCACTGGGCACCCAGAGTCACCAAGAACTGTCCACTGACTAACCCCACTGTGTGGTTGCTGTAAGTCATCTGCGATCCTTGATGGGCGGTGATGGGGTATAAGTAAATAAAAACTTCTCATCTTTACAGGGGTCGATTCTTTCACATCCACTATTTTATTGATGCTTCATGGACCTTGTGAAGTCAAGGCCTTGGGTGAGATTCTGGGGTACAGGATCTGTTGGTGTTGTACCCCATGAGGCAGGGGAACATGTATCTCAGAATGGAAGTCAGAGGACATAGCTCTGCCCCTTTCTGGCCACATGACCGGGGACAGGTGACTTAGTCTCCCTAGTCTTCAGTTCTTAAATGATCAAAGGAGACCCTGAACAGGGAGGCTCTTTGTAAACTGTTAAGAGCTCCTTAGAGGCCAGGGATTTATGGTGGTGGGTACTGTGGCTCAGGGCTCAGTACTTCATACTCCATTTAAATGCTGCTCCCTGTGGGAGGCTGAGTGTCATCTTCTTCCTGGCTCTGCCTCCACAGCTGCCACTCTGCACTTAGGGAGGCCCAGGGAGGCCCAGGTAGGGTAGGGCATGAACCGTGTGTCCGGGAGGGAGGGGGAGGAAGGTCTGCCCAGTGCCACCTCCCTGCCCCATGCCTGGCTCCTACTGGCAACCTGAGCCCTTGGCCTCCCGAGCTGATCCTGGAATGTAAACCCCAAGCAAAGCACATTCTTTAGCCAGGTCACCAGCTCCTGGCCCTTGGGAAGGGAAAGCAGGAGCCAGCATTTCTCTCAGCCCTGAATGACACTAGCACAGTCTGGTGCTGGAGGCTGTTATCACAAGCCTAGATTAATAGGGCAGTTGTCAGTCATCCTGACCTATGCTCCAGTCAGAGCCCGAGGCAAAGGGAGAGGGAAGCCAATCCCAAAGCAGGGGGATGTGAAATACTGCTGATTTCTTGGGTCTGATCCTTGTGCCAGTCATAGGCCATAAATGGGCTCAGAGGAAAAGAGGACATTGTAAAGGTTACTCTCAAAGCTGGTGCTGTCGCGCTGTCTCCAAGCTCTTTGATTTCCGACTTTCATTCAGTTCAGTCATTTGTTACACGTTTATTCCATTTAGTTATTTCTTACACATTTAGATCCTGCATGCCCAGCACCCTGGTGCTCTGGGCCTACAAGGATTAATGATATCGTCACCATCCTGAGGAGTCCCTTAAATGTTTTGTCTGTTTGGGGATGAGGTGGAGACACTGTGGCTTGCATTTCCCAGGTACACAAGGGAGGGGCATTCTGGGTAGAGGTGATAGGCCACACCAGGGAGGCAAGTAGCAGTAGTAGTTACTTACTCCTAATGGTCTCCCAGTAAGGAGGGGAGGTTGGAGGGCGGGAACTTTGTGGAGGTCCTTAGAGGCCAAGACAGAGGCTGAGAAATCATCTGGAAGGCTGGGGGAGCTGGGGAAGGGTATTTAAGCTGTGACAATGTAGTCAGATTTGCGGCTGAGAAGAATTTCTGAAAGGGCGGGAGGAATCTAGCTATGATGTGGAGGGCGGGTTGGAAGAGAGCACCGAGGGTGGGGATTGCAGTGGGGAGGCTGCGAAGTTGTCCTCAAGTGAGACTATGAGGGTCTGAACAGAGGACGTGGCCACGGGACTAGAGAAGAGGCCAACCGGAGAGGTGTGTGGGTGAGAGGAGCGAGGTGAAGGGGTCATTACCACCCAGGGTTGAGGCAGCTTCCCAGAGGTGGGGGAACTGGAGGACTGAGGTGGCCTGAGATAGGCAGCTCCAACCTAGTCCCTTTCATCCACAGATGGGGACACTTGGTCATGGAGTGGGGAGCCTGGGAAAGGGATTTATAAATTGCTGTTCCCTTATAAATGTTTATTTTTAAGAATGTGAATTGCTAAACTGAGATTAGGACCAAGGCCTATTTTCTGTTGCGTGGGAGGTTTGGTGTTCCAGAGTCCTTCTTCTCATCCACTTGATGAGGGGGCAGGGCAGGCCACTTTCTGGAAATAGTGAGTGGGGCCCGAGGGGGTCCCTAGCCCTGTGGACACAGCCTGGCTTAGTCACAGGGTTCTCAGTTCTCAGAATTTCTTCACCTTTAAGATGAGAGTTAGAAAGTCCAACCATACCCCACCTCCCATGCAGGATCCCTGGGGGCCAGAAAGCCCAAAATGCAAATGCAAGAGATTATTAAAAAGAAATTCTGGAGGAAATGAGGCAGTGGAGGAGAGGGACTTGTCTGCTCTCTGTGGTTCCAAACTCCCTGATTGCCCAGCAGATGGCGCTCCTCCAGAGAAAGCCTCCGAAACGTTGGTCTCGTGTTTTTCTGAAGATTCCAACCCCATCTGGGTTATTTCTAATCTTAGATGGTGCCTTGGTGATTTCACTTAGTACTTCAATTTCTTCCAAAGAGGAACCCCAAATATTCCATGTTTCAATGGTACAAATCTGATCACAATGCTCCTCCACTTAAAATCCTGAATTTGCTCCCAATTTCCCGTATGGATGAAGTCCAAACTCCTTAGCAGGACGTGTAAGGCCATTGTTGACCTGCAGGCCTGCACTTCTAGCTCTGTCCCCCAACAAACCAAACTCCTTCCCCCAGGGGGCTTGAGAACCCCTCTATTTCTCCAACAATAACAAAAATAACAATGTAGCCGTTCGCCTAATATATGTGAAACATTTTAAGCAGAAACATTTTAGCTCTTAACCTCACAGTAAGGCCTTGTTTGGCCTGGCTGACAAACAAGGAAACAGACTCAGAGAGGTTAACAGCCTACCCAATATCAATTAGCAGATGACAAACATAATTCCGCACACATCTCTTGCTTCAAAACTTGGGGTCTTCTTCCTCCTCTGCCTGGCTGGTCTCCCCTCTTCTTTGAAAGAGCAGTTTTTTATTTTCCGGAACCCCGCCCTAACACCCGCAGTTTGTCTGGGCTCTCTGTAGCCATCACGGGTGAGGCGCCTCTGGGTTTTACTAGCAAAGGCTGACAGCTATCTCATCAGATAGTAACTGCAGATTTAGTTCCCTGACTCTCTCCCCAGACTGCAGCGGCTAGAGGGCAGGAATCAAACACTGAGCCAGGCATGATAGGTGCTCAGGGTTAAACAATGCTTCGCAATAGGCTATGGAATGAAGAAGCTGGAAGGGAACTTTCCTGGCATATAAGTTTAGGAATTTTCTGTGCTCAGTTCATGTCAGGGAGGCTTTCCCAATCTTTCCTTGATCTTCATACTCATTCCTTGGGACCCAAAGTCTCCGTCCTTCCAGGTTTGACACCAGAACCCCTTACCTAGTACAGGGCAACTGATTTTCTTGACTTTCCCCGACTTTCTCAGGTGCTATTTCATTTGAGGCAATACGGTACGGTGGTCACAAGTTTTGGAATCAGACCTGGTTACTTATTAGCTTGTGACCTTGGACGTTATATAACTTCTTTGAACCTTAGTTTTCTCATCTGCAAAATGGGATGATACTACTTACCTCACAGAGTTGATCTGAGGATGGAGCATGTGCTCCACCACCTTGTGTGATGGTATCATCGCTGATCTTGTTTTGAATATTGGGAAATGAAGACGAGAAACAGGCAGGACCTTCCCAGGGTGGACAGCGATGGGAAAGCCTGTGGTGGGGAGGGGAATGAGGTCTGGAGCCAGACCATCCAACTCGATTGAGCCGCCTCCATGGCACCATAAGGTACAGACACGAGGTTTGCTACTGACCTTCCCTTATTTCCCTGGCTTCTCAGTGAGGCACCCCCAAAGTCCTCCCAGAATGAACCTCCAAGAAGTGAGTCCTCAGCAGACACCAGCTTCAGCCCTGAGTGGCCTGCACAGGTTCCCGTGGCTAAGCCCCCATTCTCATAACGGGAAGAACATTTGAGGCTGGCTGTGCCGCTAAGGTTCCACCATTTTAAAACGCTTCGGTCTCATCCACGATCTGGTGCCATTTTGTGCACATGGAGCCCCTCCCCTCTTCCTGAGGCTTAGGGGGACCCCTGTTTGGAAACACCCTTCTCAGGGAGGGCGGTGGGGGCGGTGCATAAATGGAAGTGGAACGGGGATCCGTTCAGACCAGGATGGATTGTGGAACAGCATCCACTAACGCGCGGTTCCACCCTCATAGTATCTGCAGCTCCTCCAGCCCCGTTTTCTAGCAGTTACCTCAGAGGGCTGAACTGAAACAGGGATACTCAAGATCAATAGAAAAGGCCTCTCTGCAGTCAGCTCACCAGGGGGGCACCCCTGGCCACATGATGCATCTAGCTCTGTGGGAAGGCAAGGCTGGGCCAGCAGGGGGCAGTGCCCTTCTAGAGCCCACGTAAAGATCAAAGAGCATGTACCTGGGGAAGGGAGAAAAAATCGTTTCCTCTAGGAGGCTCCCCCAGACCCTCAAATGGAGACAGGTGCTCCCTCCTCTGTTCCTGCCTCGTTGGACAGGTTACCTGACACCCTCCACCCCGCCCCTCCTGTAATGCTTCTTGGATGGGTCTTTTTTCCATATTTGTATCCCTGGTGCTAGCACAGATTGAAAATCTCACCGGGAATCAGAAAGAGGTGCTATGCAAATTAAGAGAAGGTACATTCTTCGAGTTTTTAAATCAGTGAGCAATTCCCTTTCTCCTTTGGGCCGGACAGAAATGAGGTTCAGCTGAATGGACTGAGGCTAGATGGTGGGGAGTAACCTGATGAAGGAGCCCGTTGCTGAATGCGACCTTCTACTAACATACGGGCGTCTCAGTGCTACGGGAAGGAAGTCACATGGTTTTACTAGGAGCGAGGGGACGGTGGGGGGCTGCTGGTTTGAAAGTGGAACCTTCCTCAGAGGGAAGAGCCAGGAACAGGCGGTCACCTGGGGCTGTTTTTAGCCTGAGAATACCAGAGGGACTGTCGTAGGATCCCCTCCCCCCATTAAGACACATGTCCACCCCACCCCTGCACCAGGGTGCTAGAGAAGATAGGAATATAGATTTTAATCATTGTGCTGCTGCTGTTAACCAGAGTGCAATTAATCCATCCTTTGTGGATTTCGATGCCACAGTGTAAATGAGAAGGTTTCACACAGAAACACTCTGGGGCTATTGGTGACAAAAGGGCCAGGCCTCTGGTGGGGAGGGGTAGCAGAAGGAGAAACGGAGTGAGGAGTGGGGAGCAGAGCCTAGGCTGGGAGTCTGCTTCTTCCCCAGCAACACATTCCCACCAAGGACCCTGGAAAGGCAATGGGTCCTTCCAGGCCAAGCCTGCTGACCTGGACCAGTCCACGATCGCCCTTCCAATGCAGCCACCTCTAGCTCTAAGGCCAATTCTTGCTGAGTAGATAGATGGTGTCCAGGGAAGATCCAGGGCAGGCCCACAGTTGACCACCAGATGGGGAAGGGATGTAGACCAAGGGAGAGGAGAGGTATTAGGAACCCCTGCTTATCCTTCTCCATTTTCCATCCTAAGAGACCCTTGAACTAGTTGAGAGCTGGGGAAAGGACAGCAGCAGCTGCCCGTCCTCTGGACCAGAACCGCCCTACCTGCCTACCTGCTGCTCTGGCGATGGGGAGAGGTGGGACTCGCGGAGGGGGAGGTAGCGGATACTCCTGCGCCTTTCTCTGCATGAGCAGTAAGTGAGGACTCTCCTTAGAGGTCAGCTGAACTCTGACTGGGGCTGGCGGAGTCTTCGAGATGTCTTAGTTTCCTAGGACCAGTAGGGTGAGGAGGTGGAGGGAGGTTACTTAGAGCCCCAGGGACTGGCCCCACTGGCTGCTGACAAGAGCTGGCATCTGGGAAGTAGTCCGAACTGCTTTGACAAGACCATTCCTCTTGTCAAGAGTCGAGTGATCTGGTCCAGGGCAAAGGCGCTGGGCGCGGGGACAGCTAGGAGTCAGAGACCCACAGGGCTTCCACTACGTCGCTCAGACCCTGGTTGACACCCCCCACAGCCAGGAGGCAGTTCTTGATAACAATGCTGGAGCAGGCACAGCGGGGTGTGGGCATGGCCGGGAGGGCCTCCCACTTGTTTTTCCCTGGGTGGAACGCCTCTGCCGTCTCCAGGACAGTTGGTTGGTTCCCTGCAAGTGCCAAGGAAATGGGACCTTACAAAGGCGTCCAGCCACCAACTCGTGCCCCACCGTCGTCCCGCCTCCCTCTCTTTCACAGGCAGAAGCCGAGCAACCTCAGCTCCCTCGGCTGGAACAGCCGCTTCCCTACCCTGGGCCAGGTAGCTTTGGTCAAACAGCCACTTTGCCCCTCCTACCTTCTGTCTTTTCATCCTTTCACCAGAAGCTTTCTTTCTCCATCTGCTGCTTTTACCGGAAGTTTCTAGACACTACTGCCTTTTACTAAGCAGTGGCCTGTGTGGTCTAGCTCACATCATGCTCCTTTCACGTGCCCGTGGAGTTGGTCCACACTGAGCAAACTCTGGGTGCCCAGAAGCCCACTGTTCATATATCTCTCCCCTGCTGATGCTGGGGTCCTGCTTTCAAAATACCATGAATCTCTGGGAGGGGTAATTCAGCAAACCCTGAACTCAGCGGACTAACATATCTGATCAGATTGCTTTCCTATTCCATGATAGAGCTGGGTATCCAGGGAGAAGAGATGGTCAGAGAAAAGGACCAAGGTCAATCCCTGCCACACTTTTACCTCCATCGTTCCTGACTAAGGCCCCAGGGATCTATGCAAAGCACCCCTGTGTTACATGGTTATCAGTATGTCCCTGACGTGCTCTAGGTCTCAGTGTGCCCTGTGTAAGAGGACAGAGAGGCCACATCTGGGGCCCATATGTGGATATGTGAAGTCCAGGCTAGGAGGAAGAAGTGTCTTGAATTCTTCAGAATAAAGCAATAGGAAGGCAGTACGCAAGGTGCCAGCACCTCCTCCTGCTTGTGCGGAGTGCCAAGGATCCACCAAGCACCAGAACAACAGTACCAGCCTGAAAGCTCATCCTTACCAAGTCCTCCAGCCACTATGACCCTTCCACTCAGAGAGCCAGCCACAAAGTCTGCCCGCCGCTTCTTGAGGAAAAAGGAGCGTTCCATCTTCAGCCATCCCCCTGTAGCCATAGATGATGGCGGAATACACGTAGAGAGAATTAGATAGATGCCAAGCCTTCCCCCTCCCCAAATACACACTGAGTCCCAAATAGCTCTCACCCTGGGCACGTCTGTACTTCTTCTACTCTTTGTGCTCAGAACGTACACAACACCTGCTGTTTGAATGACACTCTCCATGACTTCTACCCTCTCCCACGCTGCTGCAGTCCAAGGAACCATAATCCTCTACAACGAACCACCTGTTCTACCTCTGTTCCTACAAGCTTTAAACTGGTGAAGAGCTAGAGGCGGTGAGCATAGGGGTCAGGATCTTTCTGTTTCTCCACTGAGTAAAAGCAGGAAAAAGCCCTCGTTCCCCTGGCCCTGCTTGGATGTTGCCAGAAGAGACAATAGCTGGAAAAGGCTTTGATAAAAACAACCCACCAACCAAAGGGAGCCCTGTATAGATAAAAGAGTTTGATTCAAAGAACAGCCCTGAATGACAGGGGTGTTCAGACTTCCGAAAGGCTCACCCAGCTGGGAGGACAGAGGGGAGGGAGGTAAGGTGGGGGGAGTCAGCCAGAGGGAGGTTGGCAGCCAGGGGCACCCAGCTCACCCTGTTCCATGTCAAACACATCCATCGTCCGTAGGAACTTGGGCTGCCGGTAGAGCCGGCCCTGCCGCAGGCCTCCCAGGCTGTACAAGCGGTCATCTAGGGTCACAAAGCTGGAGAAGGCCCGCTTACAGGGAATGTTGGGGAACTTGGTCCAGGAGCGCGTCTCAATATCAAAGACCTCGAAGGCGTTGATCGCATACTTGGACTGTCGTCCCCCTGGAGACCAGAGCAGGGTGGGTGTTGGACAGAAGGGTAAATCCCTGAGAACAGGGGCAGTGTGCCTACCCTCTAGTGCCAAGGAGATGTGCAACACACAGGCACCGCTTCCCATAGGAAGTGACCCAAGGGAAGGAGAGAGGAACTATCCTTACCCAGCACATAGATCTTGGAACCTCGGAGGAAGGAGGTGGCAGCATATCTCGGGGTGGGCATAGGTGCAAGCGACACCCACATGTCCTTGAGCATGTCATAGTGTTGAAGGTGGTTGTGTGGACGGAGATCCAGGCCCATCCCGCCTGCTGCATATACTCGGTAATCTAAGGAGAAAGGCCACATGCAACCCCTGCTCAGCTCACAGACACTGTGAGACAGACCCATCAGTACTCATCGCCTACCATGGCCAGGCTATTAGCCTCTTGAACACCAGTGGCTGGGTGCTCAACCACCGCTCTGCCAGCGTGAGCCATGTATATGTCAGTGGGGCGGACGGCACCATTTAAAAGTCCTTGCTGTAGCTGAGCCTGGGTCTTCTTGAAGCCATGTCAGGCCTGCATGCCTTAGCCTTCCTTGGTGTCCAGCCCTTGGCTAAGTCTGAAAACTAAGCGTTGCACAGGGGTAAACTGCAGTGGAGTCTAGACCTGGGCAACCCTTCGCAGGCCTTGTCTCCTCCATTCTCCTCCTTCCTGGACAGCTAGAGGGGATGCAAAAGAGGAGAGGTAGTCCTCTGATACCCTCCAGTAGTGGCCTGGTCCAGCCGCTCCCAGATTGGAACTCTCTAGACCTAGCAGAAGCCTTTGGAAATGAGGTCAGTCCAGCTGTCACTGGCCTTGTGGGACACTGTACTGCTGCTGGTTCTTTCTTTTTCTGCCATCCCTATGAGAGAATGCCATTCTCCTTCATACGCTGGGAAGCTTGTGTGCTCCAGGAGGCACTCTGCACTGAGTGAGATAGGGCTCGGGTAAATAAGGGTGAGGCTTAGAGGAGAGGAAACTAGTCCCTTTAAGAAACCCTGCCCAGGCAGTGAGCTGAGCACTCTGAGAAGAGAAGGGTCCTCCTCATGCTCTACTGCTTCTGGCTGTTGGTGGCTTTGCAAAGCATCCATGTTTCCCTGGGCCTCATCCCAGTACCACCTGTAGCCTCTCAAGGACACAGCCTCCCGCTGCCACACACACACACACACACACACACACACACACACACACACACACACGGCCCTCTTTTTTCAAGGAACCTACTCCTGCCTCCCAGTAGCCAGTCCTCAACACTTCTGGCTCTAAGAGGCCTTTGTTCTTCAAGAGTATTTCAGGGATGAGTACTATTTCCTTTTTCCAATCTTACTGAAAAAAGAAAAAAAAAAAAATCCCAACCCGAGCTTGAGGCTGTGAGAGGAGACCTGCTAATGAATTTACCTTACACAAGCTCCACCTCTCCCATCCCAGGCACCGGAAACACGCCTCCAGTTGGGGATCCTCTAGTTCTCTCCACTCATCCTTTCCGACTCCCTGAACCACAAAGTTGGGCTGAGAACACCAGCTCAATGCTTCCCATGGCACCTGCATCACTTTAGTCACGATATGTTACTGAAATAATCTTTGTCTGTTTCTTCCAATACATTGTTAGATCCTTGAGAATTTGTTGATCTGTGGCCCCAGCGTCTGGTACAATGCCTGATATGCAGGCATATAAATGCTTATTAAACTAATCGATGAACCCATTCGAGGCTATAGTTAAGAGCATAGACTAGATCATCACTTACTATGTAACCCTGGGCAAGTTATTTCACCTCTCTGGGCCTCCCATTGTTTTTCTCTAAAATGAGGATAATAATCGCACTTAACTCATCAGACAGACTTTGAGGATCAAAGGGGTTAAAATATATAAAACACCTATGGCAAAGACTCAATAAATGTTAGTTCTTAATCTTTTAGCATCATTTATTGAGGTCTGAGGATAAAGGAGTACTCTTTTTTTTTCCCTCTCCAAGTCCCCAGGGGCCTCCATGCCATCCATCCATCTTTCTTATTGGGAGTTCGTGGAGGCCCCGCTGGCCATTCTGCCCTGAGGGATTCTGGGCTAGAGTTTTCTTTCTGATCACTTTCATTCGTCACACCAGGGTTTCTGAGGGCAGAGACCAGATTTTCTGCCCTTTTCCTTCCTCCCTGGGACCTAGAGACCTGTGCCAGGGGTTGTGCTCAGGAGATACTGGTTCCTGCTCTACAGTAGACCCGGCAGGCAGATGGGTGGTTTTGCAAGAGAGAGTGGGAAGGTTGCACTCAGCCTTTCTGAATTTGAGAGTCTCCTAATTCCTGTTGGACCATTTCCCATAAAACCCTTTGTGTTTCAGCAAAAAAAAAAAAATCTTTCAGGGCCCCCTCTATGTTTGGGCTGTTCCAGGCTTGAAGAAAAGGAAAGTAGGGCCTTGGGAAAAGTGAAATGAGAATCATAAAACCGCGCGGTTAGCACTCGCATGCACTGAGAACTCAGTGAACCTGGACAAGATGCTGTAGGAGCACAACCCTCGGGAACATTCTGGTCTCCACTCATCAGTATCTTGAAGATTAGGAGGCAGAAGAGGAGGTTAGAGGTGGGGAGAGGGCCCTGGAATCAGGTCCCAAAGCCTCTCAGTGGGGCCTGGTGATGGGACAAGGTGAGTGAATAGTTCCAGGACCCCAAGTATGTGTCTGGAGGTGGTCCCACGGGCAAAGCAGATTTCAGGGGACGGGGTGTTGTGGGTGGGAGGCTCCATCATTCTACTCAACGAAGGAGTGGGCAGAGCCATTGCTCTAAACCTCTGCTCTCCCCTCTGGTCCAGCCTGCCCACTGTGTTGGGAGAAGCCTGGTGGAGTGGAGCTTTGGCATCATATGGAATTACTAAACACTTCCTTTGCTGAATCTCAGTTTTCTTTTCTGTAAAATAAGGTCTCTAGTTTTAGTGTCTACTGTAAGGATCAAATGGGATCAGGAATGTGACGGTGGACCCCCAGCTCAGCTCTGGCCCCCATCCCTTCTCCCGTGCCCCTCCGCCCTCCTTTCTCTCTGCCTGCCCTCAGGCCTGGCCCCGCTCACCTTTGGCAGTGACAGAAATGCCCATGGCGGCCTCGCGCAGCACGCTCCTCTTCTTCCACTTGCCCTCATCGATGTTGTACATCTCCACGACCTTCATGGGCAGCTGATTGGTGCCCACACCCCCGATCACCATGATCCTCTTCCCCAGGGCGATAACAGCCACCCCAGCCCTGGCTGTGGGCAGGGGGGGCAGGGCGGTCCACTGGTCGGCCTCGGGGGAGTAGACCTCAAAGCAATCCATGGGAACGCCATTGTCGTCACATCCCCCGATGGCATAGACCTGCCCCCCGGTCTCCAGTAGGGAGCAGTAGACCCGGCGGCTTGGTAGTGGCGCCAGGCGCTTCCACTGGAAGTCCTTGACGTTGGGCACCTCCATGGCAGCCCCCAGAGCCCCGCCCGCCGCGCCCCAGCGCACGCGGAGCGCTAGGGCGCGGGTGGAGGTGCGAGCCCTGGGGTAGGGGGAAGGCGCCCGCTACTCCAAGCTCCCCTTTGCTGCTTCCATCTCACTCCCGTGCACCGGCTCCCGCCGGATCCCAGCCAGGGCCCCGACGCCGGCCAGCGCTTCACGGTCCCTCAAGACTCAGCGGTCCCGCGGCGTCCACGCCAGGCCCTGCGGGAGGAACGCGGCAAATCAGGGGAGGTCGAGCCACGCACCCCGGCCTCCTGGCGCCAGCAGTAGGACGGGCTCTCAGCCCTTCGCTAACTTTAAAGGGAGGACCCGGCGGCCGAGGGCACCACCCCGCGGCGACATCATGCCCTGTACCGCTTTGTCCCTCACCCCTCCCCGCCCGCTGGTCGGAAACCTGCGGGGGCGCAGGGGGCGGGGGCTTTCTAGCCTCCTCGCGGCTAAGCAAAGAGTTAACACCTTTCGGCGCCCACATCTCCCACCACCCCGATCCCCTCCTCGCAGTCCCCCGCCCCCGCCCCCGCACCACTTACCCGGCCAGGCGGAGCAGCGCCGCGCGAGCCGCGGACAGCGCATCACCCGTGAGCCTGGAGCCCCCGCCCGGCGGCGTAGGGAGCTGGGGATAGGCGCTCTGTCCTTACCCAGTCCGCACACTGCTGTCAGACATGCAGAGGAGGAGAATAAATGAACAGCAGGAAGGAGAATTGGGGCCGCCGCGGGGGAGGAGGCCAGCGAGCCCGCTCCCCGCATCCCCACCGGCAGCCGCCGCCACACCTGTGCAGGAATCCGCGTGCTCCCCGCGGCGAAGCGGGGTGACCTCTTTACATAAGCCCTGGCAGCGCCCGCGGGGGAGGGAAGGGGCCCGAAGAAGATGCTCACCTTGCCTACAGGGTCACTAGAGCCAAGTACCCAGATGACGGATAGGAACCAGACTCTCTCCAGTGTGGGGGTGGGCGGTTTGTGAGTGTTTGTTTTGGATGAGGAGGCGGAGAGTCCAATTACCCAGTTTATCTACAGTACACAGATCCAATTCGTGACAGGCTGGCTCCCTAGTCAGCTTTGCTTTGGGGAGCTACTATCAAATGGTTTAACTTAATATGAACAAGTGATGTGGGCGTAACCCACGCAGACCTGACACAGGTGCACCCAAACAATGTATACAACGACCTGCACACATGCATAACTTACATATGCCCCCCCATCCCCCGGAGAAACTGACAAATGCACGGATAAGCCCACACACCAACCTAGACAGACACGCAGGCTGTCTCTCACCCTCCCCCCTTCTTCACACACCTTGAGAAGGGGAAACCCGTTTACACAATCTTGGCCCTCAGGAGCACCAACCCACAGGGCTTGCCAAATCATTCTTTGAAGCCACTCTCTGATAGCCTTTTCAGGACAGTAGTCCCCAGTAACTAATCTAGCTGCCCTTGACACCAATGGTCACCTGTTTTGTTGGGACTGCAAGGCCTATGGGGTGCTCCTCCTACTTGAAGATAGCCAAATCTTGAAACACTCAGGCTTGGGAGTCTGACAGAGCTGGGTTTGAATTCTGACTCTGAAGTTGTTTAAGGACTCAGCCTCAGTTTCTTTCTGTTGTTTTAATTAACCTTTTATTTTGAGATAAACTGTAGACTCACAGGCAGTTATAAGAACACCCTTTACTCAGTTTCCCTCAAGGGTAACATCTTGCAAAACTTATGGTACAATAATATCACAACCAGAATATGAAAATGGATGAGGGAAGATACAGGACAGTTCCATCACTGCAAGGATTCTGCACGTCGCCCTCTATACCGGCACCTACTTCTCTCCCATTTCTTTCTCCCCAACTCCTGGCAACCACTAATCTGTTCTCCATTTCCATAATTTTGTCATTTCAAGAATGTTATATAAATAGAATTATACAGTATGTAACTTTTTGAGGTTGGCTTTTCTTCCCCCAGCATAATTCTGTGGAGATTCATTCAAGTTGTTGCCTGTACCAATCGTTCATTCTTTTTTATTTCTGAGTAGCATTCCATGGTATGGATACGGCCTTATAGATTTTTGCGAAGATTAAATGAAACAATATTTGTAAAATGTTCGGTTCAGCTTCTGAGACGTAGCAAGGGCCTGGTACATCACTACTAATATCATTACTGCAACTACTGTCAACAAAACCAAGAAAAAGGAAACTGAGAACAAGCACAAACGTTTTGCTCTCTACTTACAAATGACTTCCTGTGAGAAACAGAAGTCCTAATTCACAGGGGGCCCACCTTAATATCTCAAGTCCTTGTCTTAGAGATACCATTATTTTCTAGTTTGAATTCTCTCTACTTATAGAGTAAGCACCTATGGAACCTTCACAGTGGTTTTCTGTTTTCTCTATTCGGTAAGAACTCACAAATTCCAAAAGAATGTGGTCTGAATTAATGTAGTCTCACGGGAACACCAAATATCCTCTTTCC